GGGCGAGTAGCGGAGGTAAAATAAATTAATCAACATGAGCAGACTGCACAAATGCTCGGTGAAAAAAAGCAGGCTTCAGGGGCACCTGGGTGGCTCAGTCAGTTAAGTGTCTGCCTTTGGCTGAGGTCATGATCCCAGGGTCCTGGAATCGAGCCCCGCATCGGGCTCCCTCCTCAGCGGGAAGACGGCTTCTCCCTCTCCCTCTGCCTGCAGGTCCCCGCTTATGCTCTCTGTCAAATAAACAAATAAATAAAATCTTTGTTTTTAAATTTTATTTATTTATTTGACAGAGAGAGACAGTGAGAGCAGGAACACAAGCAGGGGGAGTGGGAGAGGGAGAAGCAGACTCCCAGCTGAGCAGGGAGCCCAATGCGGGGCTCGATCCCAGGACCCTGGGATCATGACCAGAGCCGGAGGCAGACCCTTAACGACTGAGCCACCCAGGCGCCCCAAGTAAATAAAATCTTTAAAGAAAAGAAAAGCAGGCTTCAGAATGCGTCCAGGATGATATTTCTAGAAAAATATAGAAGTATGCAACTTTGTACTATAAATTGTTTATAGCATATCTAATATTTTATGTGTACAGTAAAATTTAAAAACATAGCTAGAAAGAATACACATTAACTTCAGGCTAGTGGTTGTCTCTAGAGAGGGAGAAAGGATAGGATTGTGTGTCAGGAGAGAGGACTTAAAATGTGTATTTATTTCTTAAAAAATTAACTCAAAGAAGAAAAGGTATCAAAATTTGCTAATTCTGCGTGCAATACTCAGTATTTATTGTGGCATTCTAAATTTCTGTTTAAGTATTTTATGATAAAAATAAAAGAGCCCTATAATACCCCCTGCCCAGGGTAAACCATTAACAAGCAGATACGTATGTCTTCAGATTTATTTTCTTTGAGTTTAGTAATTAGGGTTCCTGGTTGCAAACAAGAAAGATCATTTCTGGCAGAACTTAAGAGGAAAAATAATTTCGTGGAAGGAATACAAACAGCTCACAGAACTGGTAGGAAGTATGGGAAATCACACTTGAAAAAGAGGTAGGACCAGTAGGTGGGCGAGACCAAGCGACATGAACTAAGGCATTCTCATTCCCACCGGGCTCTGCTCTTATGTCGCACTCCTCCTGAAGCGGGGAGGCTCTGGTGGGAACTTCCCGCTGGCTGAGCCCATGATGTCACCTGTCTCTGAACTGGCTGCCAAAGAGTTATGAGAGGAAGCATCTGCCCCCTTTAAGACCTGAGCAAAGGCAGAACAACTCGCAGCCCCTTGCCTGTTTTGGGATTCTCCTCAAATAAAAGGATATCACACATGTCCCCTAGAATGAATACGTTTCCCTCCTTTCTCCATATATACTCAGCCCCACCTCTCCCCACCTCTCTGTCTCTAACACACACACACACACACACACACACACACACACACACACACACACACAC